CAGCCAGGAGAATTTTAAACAAGAGAGGTGAAAAGCTTGAACCAAATACTGTAATGAAAAGTCAAAATTCTTTGCTAGTTTCTAAGCCCATGACAGTCTATAGATTCACAAACTAACAACTGAAAGAGTTGTTTAGTTAACTACAAGTTAAGGTGGCTGGGGATGTAACTCAGTGGTAGAGCCCTTATCTAGCATGCATGAGAGGAAAGAATATCCAAAAGAGTTCGAAAACAGGGATACAGGGTCTGAGTGGACAGAGACACCCGGGAACCCAAAGCACCACACACTGCCTCCCCTCATAGTAGTAGTAGACCCACTCCGATTATATTAGGAAAATGTGCAGTCAGGACATAAATGGAATGTTGGCCCAAATCTGCCTTACAGTGGGTCCAAAGACCCACTTTAAGCCAGGCACAGTGGTGCACACCTGTAATCTCAGAACATTTGGAAACTGGAGAAATGCCCATTTTTGTTTTGAGACAGGGTCTCATAAAGTTACTTAGGGCCTCACTAAATCGCTGAGGCTGGCCTTGAACTCTTATTCCTTCTGCCTCAGCCTCTTGAGTTGCTATGAATATATTCTTTCAATAACCTTCAGGAAGGAAAATTAGAAGCTGTTTGCATTATGAAGTATAGGCAACAGTCTATATGTACTCACTGTCTTAACCTAGAGTTATGTTAATATAGTCAAAAAGGACTTGAGTGCGGAAGGCTGAGGCAGGAGAATTGCAGGTTTAAACCTAGCCTCAGCAGCTTAGTGATGTCCTAAGCAACTTAGTGAGACCATATCCTTGGTACCAAAAAAAAAACAAAACGGGTGAGTTGGACCTGGAAATTCTACAGAATGTATGTTTGTTTGCTATACTAGGGTTATGGCAATCAGGTATTTGAGGGTATATTAGTCAAACCTAATGATCAAGTACTTTTCAGTTTCTTGATGAGATTATATATATATTGTATATTGAGTGTGTGTGTATATATATATATACATACACTCAAGATGGGAAATAAGGGTCCAAGGTTGTAGTAGAGCGCTTGCCTAGTATGTGTGAGGCACTGGGTTCAATCCCGGGCACCACATTAAAAATAAAAAAGGTATTGTGTCCATCTACAACTTTAAAAAAAAAAAAGATGGGAAATAAGTCCTGGAAAGGTGCACGGGTCTGCCACATTTTAGTCTATTTTGGTCTGAAACATTCTGGAATATTCCCTCAAGTAATGGACAGGTTATCACAGATTTCTTACAGTTTTGGAGGCAGCATATTCTTATCCTAAGGCAGCTTAGGAATGCAAGAAAGGGTTCAGCAACAGGTATTGGGGGGGGCATGTCTCCTGGAAAATTCCACAGTACTAGAGGTATATGTGATAGGAAATGATCCTATGTGGATTCCTTGGCAATCCAGACTTCAAGGATTCTGGAGTAAGATGGTGACATCTTCAGCAAAGAAAGTTTTGAGAAGTGTCTTCTGGCAGGCTGTTAAGCTCCAGTAGAGACTCAGTTCCTGGCTATGAGATATTAAGTGACTGACTGTATGATCAATTACCCATATAACTAGCTGGTTCTTGTCAGACCAAGTTGTAAGGTTAGGTGGATACAGCAACAATCCATTTTACAACAGAAAAATATATTCAGGAAGAGGCCCAAGCAAACTTGGTGGCACAAGTAAATTAAATTGAACAAAGGGTCTCAGCCACCTTCCTGTGCTAGTTGCATTGAAATCTTTGCCTTAGCTCATACCTATGGCCACATGAAAATTCCTTCAGCTGTCTGACAGGAAGGAAAAATTGAGGTCTAGACAAGTTGGCTTTTTGCCTTGGGGAAAGACAAATAGGGCCTACAGCCTCTCAGTAGCCCCACTCAGTAGTAGCTCCCAAGAGAGATGATGAGGACAAGTCCTTTCAAAGTGTAGGGTATCAGGTGCAGTGGTACATGCCTGTAATCCCAGAGGTTCAGAAGGCTGAAGCAGGAGGATTGCAAGTTCAAAGCCAGCCTCAGCAATTTGGCAAGGCCATAAGCAATTTAGTGGGCCCCTATCTCAAAATAAAAAGGGCTGGGCATATGGCTTAGTGGTTGAGAGCCCCTGGGTTCAATCCCTGGTACAAAAAGAGAAAAAA